TGGGCATTGTGGCAGGCGCCTGTAGTCCCAGCTACTTGGGAGGCTGAGGCAAGAGAATCGCTTAAGCCCAAGAGCTGGAGTTTGCTGTGAACTGTGATGCCATGGCACTCTACCCAGGGTGACACAGTGAGACTCTATCTCAAAAAAAAGAAAACTAAGTTTCCACATTCCCTTTCTCAGAAAGCACTCTACCCTGGGTAGAGTGCCATGGTGTTATTGCTCACAGCAACCACAAACTCCTCGGTTCAAGAGATCCTCTTGCCTCAGTCTCCCGAGTAGCTGGGACTACAGGCACCTGCCACAATGCCCAGCTATATTTTTTAAGGGACAGGGGTCTCACTCTTGCTCAGGCTTGTCTCGAACTCTTGAGCTCAAGCAATATGCCCACCTCAGCCTCCAAAAAAATAGTTATTGATATATTACATGATGTGTTACAGCTAAAAGTAAAGTAAATTTCCCCTGAATAATGAAATTTGGAGATGGGAGAAGCTGCTGATAGCAAAACAAACAACCCCCACCTCCACAGCATATTAAAAAAAAAGAAAAAAACAAGTATTAACTACCTTAGGGTATGAGTTGAGTGTGGAGGGCACTTGTATAAGAAAGAAATTGCAATCAAAAGATACTACATAGCTCAACTATAAATACCACTTCTGCAGACATAATCATATGCACGCTAAATATTGCTTTAACCAAAAGTTTTGATTATCTGTGTAAGGAGAAATAGGGGAAGGAGAAATGTGTATTGGAGGAAGTAAGATTCACAGGCAGTCAACAGATAATTTATAAATTGGAAATTTAGGAAATCAGTTATAAGCATATTACTGGTATATATTGAGATATAAATAGCAGAGTAAAAAGACAAAAGAGCTTAAAACAGTTGTCTCTGTATAACTAAAGTCTAAAATAAAAAGATAGGAGGCAGACCTTACATAACATTTAGCTTCCTAAGTTATGTGCTTTTATTAATTTGACATCAGTAAAAATTAAATTTCAAAAGCATATATATTCCCAGACCTACTGAACCAAAATCTCAACTAAGTCAGGTCTCTAGGATTCTGTTTTCTAGAGCCGACCAGGCAATACTGATGCAATCTATGAAGAGCAGCGATCCACTGACTAAAGAAGAACTAAGTAACCCAGTGTTCTCTAAATTTTGCTGCACCTTGGAATCATCTGGGGAATATTTTAAAAAATACTGATTCCCACCCACAGACATCTGATTTTATTGGCATGGATTACAATCTGGGGAGCAGGAGTTTTAAAAGTTCTCCAGGTGATCTTAATGTGCAGCAAAATTTGGAACCACTGCAATAATGCAAGACATGACAATGATCTAAGTCACAATTAACCACAAATAACTATACATGAGAATCCTTTTTTTTAAGAGAAGGTCTTTGTTGCCCAAGCTAGAGTGCACTAATGTCATCCTAGTACACTGCAACCACAAACTCCTAAGCCTCTGGTGATCCTCCTACTTCAGCCTCCTGAATACCTGGGAAAACAGATGCATGCCACCATACTGGCCTAATTTTTAATTTTTTTTGGTAGAAACGAGGTCACACCACAATTGCCCTAGTCTTGAACTCCTGGCTTCCAGCACTCCTCACACCCTGGCTTCCCAAAGTGTTGGGATGAAAGGCATGAGCCACCCCACCTAATCCAGAACCCAGTTTTAAAGAACTTTCTCAAGTTACAAATACATCAAGGCTTCTCTCAATTTCTTTCTTTTTCTGGGGGGGGTGGGGGAGGGCAGAGTCTCATTATGTCACCCTTGGTAGAGTGCCGTGGCAACACAGCTCACAGCAACCTCAACTTTGGGCTTAAGCGATTCTCTTGCCTCAGCCTCCCAAGTAGCTGAAACTACAGGTGCCTGCCACAACACTCGGCTATTTTTTTGTTATAGTTGTTGTTGTTTAGCAGGTCTGGGCTGTGTTCAAACCGTCCAGCCCCAGTGTATATGAGAAGCCCACTAAGCCATGGGTGCGGAGCCTTCTCTCAATTTCTTTTTTTTTTTTTTTTTTTTTTGGCCGGGGCTGGGTTTGAACCAGCCACCTTCGGCATATGGGGCCAGCGCCCTACTCCTTTGAGCCACAGGTGCCACCCTCAATTTCTTTTTAATTTTTTTTTGAGACAGAGTCTCAAACTGTAGTCCTAGGTAGGACTGGTGTCACAGCTCACAGCAACCTCAAACTCTTGGGTTTTGTTTTTTTTTTT